TGCCGCTTTGTCATCCCAGGCATTTCCTCCCTTTCCTGCCTGTGGCTGGGTGGATCCTGTCTCTTTTAGCAGAAAAACCCAAATTAATAGGCATTCTACTAGTATTGTATCAATGTTAATTTTCCAATTTTCTGAGTCATAGGTCCCTACAAATTATTACTAAGTATTAACTTTTTAGGGTGGAGACCCCTAGCAGACAGTACCTTAACTAAAGTGATCAAAGTTAATCTTACCAGTTAACAATGGAACAAACTGACATACACCTCCTGATGTGATGTGAAAAAAAACAGCTGCAATTGAGTTGATTATGACTCATGGTAAGCCCATTCATTTCAGACTAGAACTCTGCTCTGTTAGTTTTCATGTCTGTGACCTTTTGGAAACAGATTGCCATGCCTTTCTTCTGAGGCCCCTGAGTAGGCTTGGACCACCAACCTTTTGGTTAGTAGCACAGTGCTGAACCATTTGTGCCACAGGGCCTTCTAAACTGGTTGCCATTAAGTCGACTCTGACTCATGGTGACCCCAGAGTTGCACATCAGAGTAGAATTACGCTCAATGGGGTTTTCAATGGCTGATTTTTTTTTTTTTTTAAGATCTCCAGGCCTTTCTTCTGAGGCACCTCTGGGTGAATGCAAACCGCCAACCTTTTGGTTAGCAGTGAAGCCCTAAATTGTTTGCACCACCCAAGGACCCTGATGTGATATACTGAGGGCGTAATATAATCCATAACCCAATTTAACAAATAATAGCAAAAAGCCCAAATTAAGGGACATTCTACTAGCATTGTATCAAAGTTAATTTTCCAGTTTTGATAACTACAGTCATTATAGAAGTGAATGTTCTTATTCTTAGCATAAGTGTTTAGGAGTATGATGAATTTTGCAACTTTCTCTTGCATGCATCAGAAAAAAAATCTAGACTCATCTGTTGGTTTATCTACCTATCAAGAGGATGAATCAATCTGATCCTGTCCCTTAGATAATTTGTCCTAGAAGGGTGTTGGCACCTGTTGGTCCATCTCACACACGTTCTAAATTCTTATACAACCCCTTAAAGTGATCCATATAAAAACTCAAGAGTGGTTAGCAGCCTGTGTATGTTGAAAGCTCTCAGGTACTTCTGATGCCCACTGCAACAAAACAGAGGTCCCATCAGGGCAGATTTTTGATACTGACGCTACTGACTAGTTAACAAATAGAACCTTCCCTTCTTGGTTTCTCTGGCTCTTCAGCTCCAACCTTACAGATACAGTATAGAGCCAATGCTGTCACTTGACTAGGTTCAAGTAAGTCAAAACACAATTAGTCTCCTATCTTTAAAGTTAATGTAAACCTTATCACTGCTTTACTGCTCTAATCAATTTTTTAAAAAGGCAACAAAAGTGATTTTAATTAGCCATTTTTATGTGTGTGTGTGTGTAAGAACATCAGAATATTGTAGACCCTTTAAAGAATGACAGTTCTGAATTAGCTTTTTAAAAACTCTTTATTTTGAAATATTGTTTACAGAAATGTTACAAGAATACGCTTCATCTGTGTCACCAAATGTTAACGTTTTGCCCCATTTGCTTTCTCTATGGAGAGGTGACAGACAACTAAGACAGACATGATATGGTGTAGATTTACAGTAGGAGAGCTCTTTATTCAAAGGAAAAATTCATTGGGACTCTGAACAATATTTACATATTTTAATGAATTACAAAGTAGTTCCTTATGCTTCTATTTTAAAGAGGAAATCCCTAAAAGACAGCTTTTCAGTAAATCTATACATTAGTAATTCTCAACCTGCACTGCAAGAAGTCCACAAATTCATATATACATCAAGCATCTTGCAAAATTATTTTTCAAATGCAGATATTAACTGCAATAAATTAAACAACCTATGTACTTCTAAAGGAGCTCTGGTAGCATAGTGCCTAAGGCATATGACTGCTAACCAGAAGGTTGGTGGTTCAAACCCACCAGCCATTCCTCGGAAGGAAGGTTGTGCAATCTACTTCCGTAGTGATACTGCCTCGGAAACCCAAGAAGGGGTCGCTATGAGTCGGGTCCGACTCGATGGCACCTAACAACAACAGCATTATGTACTTAAAGCATTTCTGTATTCACAGTAGCTTTTGGTCAAGACACTAAAAGTGTAACTATTATGTGAAAATCCACAGTATTTTATTGTTAAAAAGTGGTTTCATAAGTATACAGATTGATGAACAACCTGCCATAAAATAAATGCCACATTTAGGCAATGAATTAAATCACAAAGCACACTGTATTACAAAGACATTTTGTTTTAATAATAAAAGACTATAAAAATGGGAGTCAGATTATACAAATTTAGTTTTCAAGGAAATAACAGCTTGAATTATCCTTAAGTTTACTGTGCAGGTCACATAATGAACTTAGATGGTATTACTTTTTCCTAATCTTACAGTTACCTTCTATAATTTCTATTTGGCTCACGCTCCTTATCTCATCATGGACCCACACTTTTAGTAGAACTATGTTAACATAGATACCTATGTTATCCCCCAATCACCACCTAGCAAAGCAGCCTTTTTTTTTTTTTTTTTTTTAAAAAAAGCTGCTCAGTAAAGTGAAGGCTTTCATTTAACACACTCCTTTCTTAACACCTGCAGTCTTTTCACTTTTTATCTAAATTCAGAACTCACTATAAAACACAGGGCTGTAATTTGGTCTTAGGTCAAATGAGTTTTGTTTCTAAATGGAGAGTAAATAAGTTTATGAAAGCCTAGATAATCTGTGTTGTTTTCACAGTTGAGAAATAT